TGTTGAGTCTCTGCCGGGTTTTGGTATTAGGATGATGTTGGTCTTGTAAAGTGATTTGGGAAGGATTCCTTCCTTTTGGATTGTTTGCAATTGTTTCAGAAGGAGTGGTACCAACTCCTTTTTGTATGTCTGATAGAATTTATATGTGAACCCATCTGGATGTGGACTTTTTTTGGTTGGTAGGCTATTAATTACTGCCTCAGCTTCAGCCCTTGTTATTTGTCTATTCAGGGTTTTGACTTCTTCCTAGTTTAGGCTTGAGAGGGTGCAAGTGTCCAGGAATTTATCCATTTCTTCTGGGTTTACTGGTTTATATGTGTGGAGTTGTTTTTGGTAATCTCTGATGGTAGTTTGTATTTCTGTGGAATCTGTGGTGATATCCCCTTTATTGTTTTTTATTGCATCTATTTGATTCTTCTCTCTTTTCTTTTTTTATTAATCTGGCTAGTGGTCTATTTTGTTGATCTTTTCAAAAAACCAGCTCCTGGATTTATTGATTTTTGTGAAGGGTTTTTTGAGTCTCTATCTCCTTCAGTTTTGCTCCGATCATACTTGTCTCTTGTCTTCTGTTAGCTTTAGAGTTTTTAAAATCTTGCTTCTCTAGCTCTTTGAATATTGATGATAGGGTTTGATTTTAGATCTTTCCTTGCTTCTCATGTGGGCATTTATTACTATAAATTTCCCTCTAGGCACTGCTTTAGATGTGTCCTAGAGATTCTGGTATGATGTGTCTTTGTTCTCATTGGTTTTGAAGAACATCTTTATTTCTGCCTTCATTTCATTGTTTATCCAGTCAACATTCAGAAGCCAGTTGTTCAGTTTCCATGAAGCTGTGTGGTTCTGAGTTAGTTTCTTAATCCTGAGTTCTAATTTGATTACACTGTGATCTGAGAGACTGTTACTTATGATTTCCGTTCTTTTGCATTTGCTGAGGAGTGATTTACTTCCAATTATGTGGTCAATTTTTGAGTAGGTATCCTGTGGTGCTGAGAAGAATGTATCTTCTGTGGATTTGAGGTGGAGAGTTCTGTAGATGTCTCTATTAGTTCCACTTGGTCCAGGTCTGAGTTCAAGTCCTGGATATCCTTTTTAATTTTCTGTCTCATTGACCTAATATTGACAGTGAAGTGTTAAAGTCTCCCACTATTATTGTGTGGGAGCCTAAGTCTCTTTGTAGGTCAATAAGTACTTGCTTTATGTATCTGGGTGCTTATGTATTGGGTATGTATATATTTAGGATCATTAGCTCTTCTTGTTGCATTGATCCTTTTACCATTATGTAATACCCTTCTTTGTCTTTTGATCTTGTTGGTTTAAAGTCCACTTTATCAGAGACTAAGATTGCACCTCCTGCTTTTTTTTTTCTCTCCATTTGCTCGGTAAATCTTCCTTCATCCCTTTATTTTGAGCCTATGTATGTCCTTGCACATGAGATGGGTTTCCTGAATATAGGACATCAATGGGTCTTGACTTTTTATCCAATTTGCCAGTCTGTATCTTTTGATTGGGGCATTTAGCCCATTTACATTTAAGGTTAGTATTGTTATGTGTAAATTTGATCCTGCCATTTTGATGCTAGCTGGTTGTTTTGCTCATTAATTGATGCAGTCTTTCATTGTGTCAATGGTCTTTATCATTTGGTACGTTTTTGGAGTGGCTGCTCCTGGTTGTTCTTTTCCATGTTTAGTGCTTCTTTCAGGAGCTCTTGTAAAGCAGGCATGGTGGTGATGAAATCTCTGAGTACTTGCTTGCTCACAAAGGATTTTATTTTTCCTTCACTTATGAAGGTTAGTTTGGCTGGATATGAAACTCTGGATTGAAAGTTCTTTTCTTTAAGGACATTGAATATTGGCCCCCACTCTCTTCTGTCTTGTAGGGTTTCTGCTGAGAGATCCGCTGTGAGTCTGATGGGCTTCCCTTTGTGGGTAACTCAACCTTTGTTTTGGCTGTCCTTAGCATTTTTTCCTTCATGTCAACCCTGGTGAATCTGACAATTATGTGCCTTGGGGTTGCTCTTCTTGAGGAATATCTTTGTGGTGTTCTCTGTATTTCCTGGACTTGAATGTTGGCCTGCCTTGCTAGGTTGGGGAAGTTCTGGATAATATCCTGAAGAGTATTTTCCAACTTGGATTCATTCTCTCCGTCACATTCAGGTACAGCTATCAAACATAGATGAGGTCTTTTCACATAATCCCATATTTCTCGGAGGCTTTGTTCATTTCTTTTCACTCTTTTTTCTCTAATCTTGCCTTCTCCTTTATTTCATTTAGTTGGTCTTCAATCTCTGCTATCCCTTTTTCTGCCTGGTCAATTTGGCTATTGAAACTTGTGTAGGCTTCACGAAGTTCTCGAGCTGTGTTTTTCAGCTCCATCAAGTTGTTTATATTCTTCTCTAAGCTGTTTATTCTAGTTAGCATTTCGTCTAACCTTTTTTCAAGGTTCTTAGTTTCTTTTTATTGGGTTAGAACATGTTCTTTTAGCTCAGAGCAGTTTGTTATTACCCACCTTCTGAAGCCTGCTTCGGTCAGTTCATCAGATTCACTCTCCATCCACGTTTGTTCCCTTGCTTGTGAGGAGTTGTGATCCCTTGGAAGAGGAGAGACATTCTGGTTTTGGATGTTTTCATCCTTTTTGTGCTGATTTCTTCCCATCTTAGTGGCTTTATCTGCCTGTGTTCTTTGTAGTTGGTAACTCAGATGGGGTCTCTCAGTGGACATCCTTTTTGTTGATGTTGAAGCTATTTCTTTCTGTTTTTTAGTTTTTCTTCTAACAATCAGGCCCCTCTGCTGCAGGATGGCTGGAGGTCCACTCCAGACCCTGTTTGCCTGGGACTCACCTACAAGGGCTGCAAAACAGTAAGGGTTGCAGCCAGTTTCTTCTTCTGTTATATTTGTCCAAGAAGGGTACCCAACAGATGTCAGCCAGAGCTCTCTTTTATGAGGCGCCTTTTTGGATATATAGGGGTCAGGGGACCACTTGACGAGACAGTCTGTCCATTATCAGAGCTCAGATGCTATGCTGGGAGCTCCGTTGTTCTGTTCAGAGCTGCTGGGTAGGTATGTTTAAGTCTGCTGCAGCAGAGCTCATAACTACCTCTTTTCCAAGGTGCTTTGCCCTGGGAAGTTGGGGCTTTATTTATAACTCCCTGACATGTTGCTGCCTTTTTTCAGAGGTGCCCTGTGCAGCAAGGAGGGAGTCTAGTCACAGTCTGCCAGCAGAGGTGTTGGGGAGTTGCTGCAGGCTCTGCCCAGCTGCTGTATAAACTCCCTCATGGTTTTGTTTACAGAGGTATAGTTTGGACTGCCTTGGTAATGGTGGCCTGCCTCAATAATTGGGTGCCTTTTATTTCTGTCTCTTACCTAATTGTTCTGGCCAGGACTTCCAGTATTATGTTGAATAAAAGTGGTGAAAGTGGGCATCCTTGTCTTGTTCCAGATCTTAGAGGAAAGACTTCAGTTTTTCCCTTTTTAGTGCAAAAGCTGTGGACTTGTCATATATGGCCTTCATTATTTTGAGGTATGTTCCTTCTATACCCAATTTGATAGGTTTTATGATAAAGGGATGTAGAATTTTTTAGAATTATTTTTGGACATCTACTGAAATAATCATATGGTATTTGTTCTTGCTGTTAATGAGATGTATTCCATGTATAGATTTGTGCATGTTGAACCGTTTCTGTGTAGGGGTGGGTGAAGAGTGAAGTTAACTTGTTTCTATGCTGCCATTTTTGAACCAGAAGTCAGGACTCCAACTTTTTAACTTAAAAATAACATGAAACTGAATGTAGAACCTCAGGCTCTAAAATTTCTAGCAGAAAACCTTTGTGACTTTATGTTATACAAAGATTACTTAAGTACAGTACCAAAAACACAATCCGTAAAAAATACATTGACAAAATTGAAAAAAACTACTCTTTGAAAGACACATACAAAAGTGAAAGATAAACTGCATATCAGGAAAAACATAAACATATGGCACAAGCACAGTTAAATAAGTTACTTATTGAAAAATACAAATTGAAACCACAACAAAATATCACTACACAGTATGGTTAAAATTTAAAAGACCAATCATACCTAATAGTGGAACTCTTATACATGGCTGGAGGAACATGGCATAGAACAACCACTTTGGAAAACAGTCAGTTACTTAAAATCTTCCACACCTATTGATCATACTCAGGTATTCTATGTCTCAGTATTCACCCAAGGGAAATGAAAGCATTTGTTCATACAAAGTCATACACAATTGTTTATAGTCTTTTTATTTGTAATAGCCCCAAACTGGAACAATGAAAATGTACATCAATAGGTGAACAGATTGTAAAACTGCAACACTTTGTTACAATGGAATATTAGTAAAAAAAGAATAAACTATTGGTACCTGTTGTGACATATATGAATCTCAAAATATGCCATGTGAAAGAAGCCAGAGGGAAAACCTATATATATAGTCTAATTTCATTTAGACAATCCACATAATTTTAGTAACCAAAAACAGATCCGTGGCAATCTGGTCTGGTTTAGGAGGCAGCAAGGAGAGGAGGGAAGGAGGACTGCAAAAGGTTACAGGAAACTTTTTGGGAGTGATGGATATGTTAATTATCTTAATTATTTTAATGGTTTAACTTATCAAGTTTTATACTTTAAAATACAGCCACCTGTAGTCCCACCTACCTAGGAGGCTGAGGTGGGGTGTGCCTTGAGCCTGGGGTACAGATGTTGCAGTGAGCCATGATCACGCCACTGCACTCCAGCCTGGGCAACAGAGCCAGACCCTGTCTCAAACAAAACAAACAAAAACGGTTTGCAAAACGAACATTGTAGCGAACACAATTTAAAAATTAAAAATACAGTTTTGTGTATGTAAACTATTCCTCTATAAAGCTGTTAAAAATACTGTTGAACTATTATTATCTAATGGCCCTGTTTCCATCAAGAGTAAATATGTGTATTTAATGTAAATATATAAAATGTAACCTTCAAATTATCTATCATTAGGGAATTACTTCGGATTTGTTTCCTGGGGTAAAATTACCAAAACCAGATTACAATGATTTGCTGGCAGCTATCAAAGACAATTGTGCCTCCATGAATTTGCAAATGACCACATTCTTTTCTGAGAAGATTCTTCAAATATATGAAATGATGATTGTGCGTCATGGTTTTATGATTGTTGGAGAACCATTTGGAGGAAAAACTAGTGCGTATCGCGTCTTAGCTGGAGCACTAAATGATATATGTGAAAAGGTAAGTATATTATTAATGTATTAATTTATTTATGATCAACTTTGTGCAAGGTAGAATGTGCCATTAGTTTAAAAGTTGCTTTCAATGTGGCAACTTAAAATTGTGAGAAAAAATGAATCAAAGAGAAAATAAAGTTTTAGAAAAGTAAAATGAAGCAAATAGCAAATTCAGCATATAAAGGGTTTCCACAAACTTGCCTTTCAGCCTTTTATTTCTTTTTTTTAAACTATTAAGGTAATACATGTTTCTTGTAGAAAAAAGTCTGAAAACAGAAAAATCTGAAGGTTTTCCTGTAATACTTGCAGAGGAGTCTTTTTTATTTTCTAGGTAGATTTGTAATGCAAGCTTCTGTATTGGCTGTTAGTGGTATTGAACTGGAATGTGTGTGTGTGCATATGAATTCTAGACCAGCCTGGATAACATGGCGAAACCATGTCTGTACTTAAAAAAAAAAAAAAAGCACACACACAAAATTAGCCACCTACAACCTGTACAGCTACTCAGGAGGCTGAGGTGAGAGGATCACTTGAGCCCAGGAGGCAGAGGCTGCACTGAGCTGAGATTGCGTGACTGCATTCCAGCCTGAGTGACACAGTGAGAGATGATGTCAAAAGAGAAAAGAGGCTGGGTGCGGTGGCTCACGCCTATAATCCCAGCACTTTGGGAGGCTGAGGCGGGTGGATCATGAGGTCAAGAGATCGAGACCATCCTGGTCAACATGATGAAACCCCGTCTCTACTAAAAATACAAAAAATTAGCTGGGCATAGTGGTGCATGCCTGTAATCCCAGCTACTCAGGAGGCTGAGGCAGGAGAATTGCCTGAACCCAGGAGGTGGAGGTTGCCATGAGCTGAGATCGTGCCATTGCACTCCAGCTTGGGTAACAAGAGCAAAACTCCATCTAAAAAAAAAAAAAAACAGACAAAACAAAAAAAAAGGCCACTTTTTTTTTTTTTCATTTTGGTAGTTTGTGTCCCAAGCCTGGGAGTGGCAGGCAGAAGGCAATGTTAGAAAGAGCTGAACTTGTTATGTTGTTATATATAAAAAATGATTGCGAATAAGTGGAGCACAGGGGATTTTTAGGAGAGTGGAAGTGTTCTGTATGATACTATAATGGTGGATAATAATATTACACACTTGGCAAAACCCACAGAATTATGCAACACAGAGTGAACTCATAGTGTTAACTGTGGACTTTAGTTAACAGTAATGCATTAATATGAATTCATCAGCTATAACAATGTACCACACCAATTCAAGATGTTAATAAAGGAAAACTGTTTTGTCTGGGTAGTGGAGAGAGTATCTGGAATCTCTGTACTTTCTGCTCAATTTTTCTGTAAACCTAAAACTACTTTTTTAAAAAAGCTAATTAATTAAAAAACAAAAAAGCTTATGTCCAAAGGGCATTAATATATCTTTTAATGCCATAGACTAGCTTTCAGGTTTTGGCTAAAATTGACAGTTTACCAACATTAACTCTTTCATTCCACAAGAGATAGATATTTTTCTGTATTTAGGTTTTTAATTTTCTCTCAGAGGTTGTTTTGTAGCAGGGATCAGCAAATTATTGTACATGGGCCAAATTCAGCCCCAACCCTCCTTTTATACTGCCAATAAATTTAGAATCGTGTTAACACTTTAAACATCTGTTGATTTAAAAAAAGAAAAGCATAGAAGAATATGTGGCAGACATATTCTTGTTTCATATAAATATGGAACTTGCAAAGCCTATAATATTTACCATCTTATCCTTTACAAAAGAATTTGCCAAACCCTGTTTCATACTTTAAGAAATATAGATCTTGCACAACATTTGCTAATTTCTTCCTAAGTATTTTGTGAGCTTTTAAATACTATTGTGAATGTTTTTCTAATTTTATTTTCCAATTGTTCATTGGTATTGTGTATAGATAATGCAATTGATTTTATATATCAACCTTATAGGCTGAAACCTTGTCAAATTCACTTCTTCTGATACTCTCTTTGTAGATTCCTTAGGATTTTCTATATACACAATAATGTTTTCTATGAATAAAGAAAGCGTTTTTTGAATAAATAAATGATTGATTTTGTTTTCATTAAGGGGCTAATGGAAGAAAACAAAGTTCAAATAACTGTTTTAAATCCTAAGTCTGTCACCATGGGTCAGCTGTACGGACAGTTTGATTTAGTGTCCCATGAGTGGTCAGATGGGATCCTTGCTGTCAGTTTCAGAGCATTTGCTTCTTCACCGGTAAGTTCTAACACTTTTACACGCATATTTTAAAAGGTTAAGATATTTATTTCTGACCAATTTCTGATTTTTTTTCAAACAAACTAATTGTATCTATAGATGAAGTTTTTTTTTTTAACACTGTACTGGGTATTCTGGCAGTATTTCTATGAAGAAAAAATGTCAGCACCTATAAAAATGCCAGAGACCAAGCTCCTTTGCCCTGGAGGCATAGAAGAGAGAGTAGGAAACAAAAGGACAGGGCAAAGTATTTCTGGCTATTTTTTCTGAAGTGAGATAAACTGGGAATGAGAACATCTGAATAACATGATCCTTTTGCCTCTTCAGTAATGTTCTTCCTTCACCCACTCTTTGGGCTGCTGCTATTGTCACACCCACTAATTGTTAGATACACACCAGTGCTTAGAGAAGAAATTGCACACCTTTGCAAAATGATGTCTTAAAGTTCCCACACTTGTCCTTTAGCATATTAAGAAGAGAATGACTGCCTTGTGGAAAGCAGAGGAGGTCAGCGGTATGCCAGCTGCCACTGGCTATGAGTGGAGAGTAGGCACTTACCTACTCCTGGCTTATTCTGCTGCCCACTCTCATGAAAAGAATCCACATACCAGTAAGTGCTAACTTGGTTGCCATATGTTAGCAGGTTCTGCTGAGAGTGTGATTATATGGGAGACAGCTTGCTAAAGCTGGTAGTATAGGAAAAGGGGGCTAGGCTTGGGACATTTAATTTTTTATCAAATCATTCTTTTTATAAGTGTTTTCTTTCTTCTGACTACCATACATTCTAAATTTGATGCTCTCTGTCCACTTAAGAACCTAGAAAAGCATGACTCATGAGTCAAGTAATAATGGATAAAATGTGAAATCTCAGCTCTGCTCTTATTGCTTGAAAAGACCTTAGGCAATGAGCATCATAAGGACTGACTCTTATGGAGCAAACATCTTGCCCAAAGTCAAGCTTTACTAGTAATTTCAAGCATAAAAGAAATTGTGGACACAGGTGAAGGAAATAGAAGTCTGGAACCCTTGATGTGGCTTCTTAGGTCCTCTCTTGCCACAATGGAGGCACTGTGGCTCAGAATAAGAGATGAAGTCACTAGATAATATAAGCAGTTACATTATTTACACAGAAATAGTCATGAAATACCTCTATTTTTTACTTACACTTTACATAATATTTTTCAGGAAGCTATGTCCCATAAATACTGAGTCTCAGGGAGTGTAAGTAGTTCACCTGAAGTCCACAGCTCATAATTAGTAGAGCCAAATGGAAAGTGAGGTCCTTGAGACTGTGAAGCCCAGGGTCTCGCCATTGCATAGTAGTGTTTCCCAAAGGAATGCTTAACAGTCATGGGAAGCCCACGGTAGAAGAGAAAGTTGATCTCAAGATGATTACGGAGCTCTGGCTCTTCCTTGCTTCCTCCCTGAACACAGCTAGAACTGGCCTCTGAGTGTGGGCGTGGGATGATTTGAGCCTGAGACAGACCCATTGTCTTATAGATTAATGCAATTGGCTGCAGGGACTGAGAATGTGCTAAGATGGATTCAGATCCTTCACCACTTCACCCTGAACTCATATTTGCTGAAGAAAAAGGAAGGAATCATTGGTGTACACAAAAAAGTTGAAATATAAGGATCTGGAAAGGAGAATCAGTCTTTGTACACTCTGGCTAACATCTGTCTACTCTTTCCTATTTGTTTAGCATTTACTATATTCTGGACAATTTGTAGATATTTTCATATTTATTTTATCATTGTAGGACTATAAATGTTATGTTGGCTGTAATTTTCTATACCATCAGGAGAGAGCTCAGCCCAAGTGGAGTGTATATATATTTATGTGTATGTGTGTGAATTCATTCAGTGAAGGGAATAAAAAATTTGGTTTAGCACACAAGAGTAATTAATTTGCATAAACATGATACTATATAGAGTCAGATATTCTGAATAATTCTGTTTTTCCTGGCAATTACATGTTTTTTACTTATATTACTTTCTAAAACACATTGTATATATTTGAGTTCAGAAACATTGATAAAGCCACAGATGCAGCGGCTCATGCTTGTAATCCCAGCACTTTGGGGAGCCAAGGCAGGTGGATCTTGAGCTCAGGAGTTCAAGACCAGCCTGGGCAACATACAGAAATCCCATCTCTACCACAAGAAATACAGAAAATTAGCTGGGTGTGGTGGTGCACACTTGAGGTACTAGCTACTTGGGAGGCTAAGGTGGGAGGATTGCTGGGGCCTGGGAGGCAGAGACTGCAGTGAGCCATTATTATACCACTCTGCCCTCCAGCCTGGGCAGCAGAGATTATTTTATCTCAGAAAAAAAAAAGAAAAGAAAGAAAGAAACTCTGAAAAAGACTGAAATCTTAAGAAAAGATGATGTATTTCTCTTTTGTCCATGGCATATAGGCTTCTTTAGTGATACATATATACATGCAGATACACACACATATGTAGTAATCTTTATTTTAAAAGTGCCTTTACATTTTCATAATGAAATTAATCCTAGTACTTATATTTTACAATTTTGAAATAATATTCTTGAACTGTTTCTTACATTATCATTATTACATTTTTTGCCCTCTGTTCATATATGCATGACATAGACTCCAGATAGGAAATGGTTAATTTTTGATGGCCCAGTAGATGCAGTGTGGATTGAAAATATGAACACTGTGCTGGATGACAACAAGAAGCTATGTCTGATGAGTGGGGAGATTATTCAAATGTCACCACAAATGAATCTAATTTTTGAGCCGATGGATTTAGAAGTTGCTTCCCCTGCCACTGTAAGTTCTCTATTTTGACATGATCTTATAAATTATAAAATGTTATGAATACATGTATTTGCTTAGTAACTTTGACTTTAAACAAAAAATATTAGCAGAATTTCTTTTAAGAGCAATCTGATTCTCAAGGGACAGATATATCTGTTGACATACCTTGACAAATTTAGTGGTCAGGATGTTTTCCTCTTGGTTTAGGACTATTTGGTAAAGTCAGATACAAAAATCAAGATCATGAGATTATATAAAAGTTAACCTTTCCCCCAGACTTTTCTGAAGATTATAAGAAACAGATGTGCCAAATCATATTTATTTTATAAGCATTGCCTTGATGGTAACCAATTATGGCTTTCCAGGTTTCCAGATGTGGCATGATTTACATGGAGCCTCACATGTTAGGCTGGAGACCACTGGTGTTGTCCTGGGTGAATCTGTTACCTGCGTCAGTCAGTGTTATTCAAAAGGAATTTATAATGGGCTTATTTGACAGAATGATTCCTGTTTCAATTGAATTTATTAGAAAGCATACAAAGGTAAGATAAATGAGAATTTTAAGATTAAAAAGTAAATGGAAAACTCATATTAGACTTATCAATTTTAATGTGTTTTTATTATCAGCTAATGGATGTTAAATCAAAAACTTCTGATTAAATTAAAAATTTAAATTAGAATGCATATAGTTAACTAAAAATATTTTAAATGAAGTATATTGGTGCTAATCTTTTCTTTCTCTCTAAAAAAACGGAGAACTCAAAGGCCCACATAACCATGTCAAAATGTTATTTATTTTTTCTGATGGGCTACTAGATTTTAAATAATTTCTATTATTACAATATTCTTTATTATCCAAGGTTCCTAAAATAAGCCAGACAGTCCATGGTAGAAGGACTGGGAAGAGGTCCTAAAGTAGGCAAGGTCATTTTTCTTTCTTTCAGTACACACTGAGGAGGGGGAGGAGAGGAAGTGGGGTTAGTAGAAGGGAGGAAAATGACAAGGACATGGGAATATCCTGCCTCTGAGAGTTGACTAAGCTTCAGCAAGTCTCTAAAACTCTCTTCAGCTGGAAATTACCAAGCAAGAATGTTTAATTTCTGCTTTGAGAGATGCTGACCTAAGGTCTTTTAGAATGACTTTGGCTCTGGAGCAAAGTTCTGGTAGTTCTTTTGCTGTTGAAGATATAACAAAAAATCTTGAGGCAGAAGTTTAGCGCCAGGTATAGATTTGGAAAATGGAGTTTAAAACCATGTTAATGTAGATTACCTAAAAAAAAAATCCAGAGATTTTTCTTTAGGTAATCTACATTACCTAAAGAAGAGAGCAAGGGATAGAATCGCAGGTGCATCAGTGATTTAGACAAGAGAGAGGGAAGAGAGAAGAAGGAAGTGAGGTGACCTCCATACTGCTCTTTCAAGAAGTTTGGCTGTAACCTAAATAGGTTGTAGATATGAAGTAATTCATGCTTCATAAACAGTTAAACCTGTATGAACTGAGGTCATAATAAAATAAGCTTCAGGGTCTTTCTGGGTTTTTTTCTCTGTCATTGTCAGCGAATTTAGATACTACAAATAAACAAATTTTCTATGTAACTGAAACATCTTTTCTATAGGAAAACATAAAATATTGAATGCAAGCTTTCTAAAATATACTGTTCACTTCTGTTATCTCTTGAAGGAATTATGAGTGCCTGTTATTTGCTATGTAGTAATAAGTATCTGTTTTATTTGCAGTGATAACTGTTTGTGTTTTGGTGTTGAATCAGTAATACTTAGTCCCACACTTAGAAACTCAGCTGCCTTTTCTGATGTTTCTACTGGGGTCACAGCTGAAGATGAAGTCACCTGCTTCTAATCTTCAGAGAGTCTGTTTCAGAGAGTTAATTTTTACTTGTTAACCACCAAACAATGTGACTTTAATAACTGGAAGAGACCTGCCTGGGGAGAAGACAAACACCTATGATAACTTGCTGTATGCTGCATGGTTCTAGGAGCAGTACACATTATTTCACTTATTTTATAAACTATCCTGGTGACATGCAGAAAAGCAAAGTGCACTACAATTTGAGCACTCCAGAAAGGTTTCTGAGGACTCCAAGACTTGAAATTGTATTTCACAGTGTTGAGTTTACTATGAATATTGCTATGCCTTGTAAATATGCTCTAAAATGGATTTTACTTATTAAGCATTTTAGATACACAAATTAACTGCCTTCTCTGAAATTTTTTTAGTGTTTTCATGTATAAAATTAGTATACCCTAGAATCTATATCTTTAATTAAATTAACTACATACGTAACAGTAATTTTTTTAAATTCGAGAATCGATAGGAGAGGTTAAAGAGTGCACACTACCTAAATATAACATCCAGTTCTCCCAAGTGAATTGTAATAATAGTACCTATTCACAGATAGTATGAATTAAAAATTATTACTATCTGCTAAAATTAAATGAGCTTAATAAATATTAGCTGGGGCTCTTTTAGGTAGTACCTAATTTAAATTATTTAGACTTTTTTTCTTACTGACTTTTCAGGAATTATCTCCTACTTCTGATACAAACTTGGTTCGATCCTTAATGAATCTAATAGACTGTTTTATGGATGATTTTGCTGATGAAGCCAAATTAAAGGAAAGAAATGATCGAGAAGCTTACTCTTTGCTTGAGGTAAAGTCCATTGCCTTCTGTATCTTGCTGCAGAAAGACAGGTATCTACTGCCTTTCCCCGAAGCTTTCTAATTTATGAAACTCATTTTGCCCCTGAAGTTGGAGACTAGTCAACAGCTGAAGAGTGAGGAAAAAGTCAGGCCCCAAGTTGTAACTGCTGGTAGGGGAGCTCCTTAACTGGCAGTCATGGTGCATCATGAGGGTTGGGCAGAGCCCAGTGATTGCCTCAGATCTGCTACTGAAATCTCAGGTCATTTGACCAGCCTCAGAAATGATTCATTCTCAAAAAGTCAGTGACATTTTGGCAAGGAGATTTACCTCCTTTCCTAACTATAGTAATTTAGTGTTTTCCCCCCTTGATTTTTCTTTCTTTTTTCATGAGCTATAAATTATTTGTACACATATGTGTGTGTGTATAAATATATATTTGGATTAAGGAAAGCAAGAAAATATGTAGGTAATCAATAAACTGATTTTTAATGGGAATAAAAATATCAATAGACTGGATTTTTTAATGAAAATATTACAGTACTATTCATGGTAGCACTTCTGTGGTCAGTATGCTACTTGCATAACATATGTTTTGAAATAAATTTTTTAATTTAGTGTTAAATGGTTTCTGGAGAGAAACGGTCTGTGAGTAAACTAGGAGTAGGTGAACAGGGTTGAATTAGAGTACAGAAGTTTCATGAGCGTAGTCTCTTGGCTTTGGACTTAATAAAAGACCTTGTTTTTAAACAAGCAAACTGGTTTTCTACCTTATTGGTGGGTCTTGTCTTCTACTCTGTTTCTTCTTTTTGAGTCTGGAAAGAAGAAAGCTAGTATCTTTTGCTTGCAGAATTGCAATTCTAGTTTATACACTTAATGCTCAGATATTACAAATAAAATAATTTAAATATGTTCTATTTAAAGTAAACCCACCATATCAAAATTTAAATAAAATAAATATGTAGGTTATTTGCCTTATTACAGTGTGCCTTAATGCCTTAATAATAAGTTATTTCTAAGTTTCTTTTAATATCAAGCTGCTACATGTGTTGAAAATATGCGATTTACTAATCATTCTGAAGTTTCATATGGCCAGAATGTATACTTTATTTTGTAGTATCTTCTCTAAGATTTTATAAGACATGCAATTTGATTTTTAAAAACTCTTATGATTACAAAATCCTGAGATGACCTACCATTATGTATGAGCTTATGTGTTTCCTTTCACATAAGCTCATATATAATGGTAGGTAATCTGGTTGATCTGATATGTAAGTTTCAAGGACAGATTAAAATTACACTTTAATTGTTCTTAATCTCATCTCTCCATCACAGGGCATTTTTCTGTTTTCATTGATCTGGTCCATTGGTGCTTCTTGTACAGATGATGATCGGTTGAAATTTGATAAGATTCTTCGAGAACTAATGGAAGGTCCAATTTCAGATCTAACTCAAAATAGGTTTAAATTACAGAGTGGTACTGAGCAAACATCCTCAAAGACACTAACTGTCCCATTTCCTGAAAAAGGAACAATTTATGATTATCAATTTGTTACTGAGGTAAGAGTTCTGAAGCAAGATTTGCAACTGCCAGCCTGGCAGAGGCCCCTCTCCAACACCCAGCATATGATGGTTCTGTGGCCACCTTGATCATCGCTATTTACCTTAAGAGACAGAATAGATTAGAGGAAGATGTAGTACTGGCTTGAAGTCAGACAGCTCTAGGTTTGAGTCCTAGTAAAGTCACTCTTTCTGTATAGCCATGAACTGTGTTCTCTGAACATAGTTCTTCCCAATGATACTATGAGATAATAATATCTGATGGACCATTTGCACTCATTAAATAGAATCACACCAGGCATATACTGTTTAAGGACAACTCTTAGAGACTCACAGTGCATGTTAGTGTATACTAGGCACTTAGAAGTCCTGTAGGAACCCAGATGGTGTAATCTTAATTCAGTGCTTCCCAAACGGATTGGAAAATAAAACTTGGGTGGTGGCTGTTTTTGTATAACAACTTCCACAAGTATTGTACTGAGGACCAAGTTTAGGAATACATATTATTTAAATATATATAGATTTAAGTAAAATTGGGATCATACAACATTCCCAGTGGGCAACTTTACATCCATCCTTTTTCTTAATGAGAACAACTTGACATTTCACTAATGTTTCTTCAGTAAACTTGCTTTCTAAAGTCTCCCTGCCATATGAATGGATCATGATTTAGTCATAATTTCTTACCCTCAGACATTGGACTGTTTTTGTTGTTTTAAGATTCTCACTTTTATAAATACTACCTTGGTAAATATTCTTTGATACATGTCATTTGGGTACATATCTGATTATATCCTTAAGATAAACTTCTAGAAAAGGCATTACTGTATTGCTTTTTGAATTTTTATGGTTCTTGCAGTGTATTGCTAACTTACACCAGAAGGGGTGACTGTGCCCAACACAGATATTATCACTCTGCCCAACACAGATAGAACGTTTTTACTTTTGTTAATTTTATTTCAAATTAATAATACCCTGCATTTTCAGGGTAATGTTTATTAAGCTTTCTGCAATTATTTCTATTTTATTTTCCAACACTTTGGTGAAGTGGGAAGGATAGGATTATTTTACAAGTTTTGCCATTGAGGAAATGGGGCTCAGAGATTTTATGCGATTGTCTCAGGATCACACAACCTCTAAATAATGGTACATTTCAGTTTTCTGATTCTTAATGGTTCCTTTCCTACACGTTTGAAAAGATTATCAAGAACTTGGAAAGGCATTATTTTCTTTATTGGTTCTAGAAATACTTCTTTATAATACAATTTTCAGACTCAATTTAACACCCACAAAAAAAATCTCTGCTCTATGCACAGTCTTGTACCTGAAGGTACAAGAATGAGTAAAACACGGTGCTTCCCTCAGTGAGTTCATAACCTCTTCAGATTACAGTCATGTGCCATTCTGGCCCAAGGAGTGCCATGCATGAAAGCTCAGGGACCCAGGGAAGTGGAGGGACCAACAGGTGCATCAGTGAGGCCTGGTTGTGAAGCATAGATGGGTCTGAATTCTGATGTACTTTGAATGACCAAGAATTTAGATTTTATTCTGTAAGAAGTGTGGTTGTGTTTTTCCAAGAAGAGAGAGTTAACATGATATTCTTGAATGTTTTTGTTATAAACACCATCATAGCAAATTAAAATTTTAGTTCACAAGCTAATTGGATGCAAAAATATGGTATAAAGTTAACTCATAATTATAATCTTGTATTAAGAATTCTTGCCTGTTCTAGAGATCTGTTACACAGCAATGTGAATATAGTTAACAATACTGAACTATGCACTTAAAAAATGGTTAGGGATAAATATTATCTATTTTTTACTATACATTTTTAAAAAGAAATCTTGCCTGCATTGATAAGCTAATGTTATCAATACTGTTGTAAAAGGCAAGCAATATGCAGCTTATCTTCTAGGGAGAAAAAATTCTATATTGGTTAACATTTATTGAATAAAATTATTTACTCTTTAGTCCATTGGTTAGTTTAATTTTCTCAATACAGTTGAATAATCTAACATTTGGCCACAATAATTGATCATTGGGTAGGCAAAACCAGTGGTTTCAGAGCATCAAAAAAACTACAGCATTGCCATTTCATTTGTATTCGTGTAAAAGCTAGTTTCTCCTTAATTTACACACACAATCTAACCTTCAAACTGAGTGTTACGTGTCTTAAAGGATAAAACAAATGTATATATATCAGGGTTTGTTGGTCTTAGCCTTTCCTACAATAGCACAGGAATATAGAGCTTTTAAAAGTATTTTATAACATTCATTACTTGGTTGCTTCTTTTAAACAGGGAATAGGAAAATGGGAACCATGGATAAAGAAATTGAAAGAAGCTCCTCCAATTCCTAAAGACATATTTTTTAATGAAATCATTGTGCCAACTCTGGACACAATTCGATACTCTACATTAATGGAATTGCTGACCACTCATCAAAAGCCTTCAATATTTGTAGGACCAACGGGAACTGGGAAGAGTGTTTACATTATTGTAAGTATTGCAGAAATCTACATATTAAACTGTGCATAATCTTCCTAGGAATGTTAGTTTTTGCAATAGTAGACAAATAATTTTTTTAAAATACTCAAGTACTTTGATGTTTGAACCACAGAGAATTTTTGAAAAATTGCCTGCTTATTTTATTTTTGATTTTGACCAAAAGGCCAAGAAGTGATAATTGTCTGTTTTAGAAAATTGATTAATGATATGATGGCATTTTATAATCACTAAATTTTTGTCTTATTTACTTTAGTATTTTAATAAGAATTGCTTGTTCCACATGAGAATTTTGTATCTCTTGTAAAGTGTGTTTTAGTTACACTTGATGTTTTCTAAGTTATTTTATATCTGAAGGATTATTGTGTAGTAACAAGACTGATTTTCCCTAATGATGTCTGGAATTGTTGTCTGTTAGTTAAGATAATGCTAGCTGCTGTAATAGAAAATGCCACAGTCTCTGTAGCTTTACGCAGCCTGTGGAGGAGAATGAAGGTGTCTTTTAACAGCCCCCTTTCATTGTAGGTTCCCAGTTAATTCACATTACCCACAGTACCTGTTTCTTGTTATTTATTGACTTTAACATGACATCTTATAATCTCTCTGAAATGTGTTTGGCAATATAGTTACATAGCCATCCTAGTATTGATTGAATAATCTCTTTCATAAAAGATCGGAATGACATCTCTCATAAACTAAATGCTTGAATGTATGGGAGTATCCAAGAGGAGGGAGAGATACAGTTTCACTGAGAATTCAAATCAAGGAGTGTTTATGGCCTGGGTTTAAATAAATAAATAAATAAAACAAAAAAACTCAAAATACACAGAAAGCTGATTTATCTAAGATATCAACACGGGTCAGGGAATGGAGACTTAACATGATTGAAGGCAGAGGTTAGAAGAAAATACAGGCCTTTGTCATTTGTACCTTCATCAAATGCAGCCCAGGAATAAAGTGCGTAGGCATAAAAACATTACTTTTCACACACTTTAGGAACATAACTTTGTGATTTGCTTTTAAAAATGAATATTGTAAATATCTTTCACATTTATTTTTCTATAAGATTGTTTTAAGGATATCATAGTATTTGATTCTATAATTTTATGATAATTGATTCAAATCCCTAATTTTTCTAACATTTTGCTTTAGAAATAAGGTTGAAATGAACATTTTTGTAGCTAAATCTTTGTTCTTATCTCTGTTTGTTTAGGAAAATTTTCTAAGATTCCTGGAAATGGAATTGTTGATTTTTTGATGAATATTAAGTAGTTCCACAGAAAGGTTATTGTCCGTCATGCCCTTCAGGGGGAGTTCATTACCTCAATTAATTAAGAGTTAGTTACATTGTAAATAATACAAATAGAAGGCTGACATCTTCAAAATTTATTCTTCTGTGAAAGAAAATATTACTTTGAGACAATGTTACATAATTTTAATTTCCCTAATTTCATTGAGAATTTATTTATACAAACTGCTTAACAAAACTCTGTACATATATTTCATCTGGTTGAAAGAAGGAAATATAAAATTTACAATTTAAAGTGATTTTCTCTTCAAATTATTGCACATCTATTTACATTTTAAATAAACTTTGAAAAAAGTAGGATTAAAGATTACCTAAAAACATAAGTTAAAGCAATACAACAAAAAAAATTTACTGAAGACACTGGTTGATAGCAAATCTGTTGAGCAAATACCTTAATAGTGGTTAGAAGGACTCTATAATTTCATACAATTTACATTGTTGAGAGCTTAGATTAAAATAATTGTTAAAAATACAATATTTAGTATTATGGTTCTTTCTCATTTAAAGGTAATCTCTATTGGCAAATGAGTATTTTCTCTTTCACATAAATGCAAAGCTTTTATAGAATATTTTTTCTCTCTTTTGTTATTTTTTTATTGATTCATAATACCTATAAACATTTTTGGGGTACATGTGACATTTTATTACATGTATCATATGAGTAATGATAAAGTCAGGATATTAGGAAATTTAAGACTTTCATCACCTTGAGTATTTATCATTTATAGAATAATTTTAATCAACACAATTTGATCATCAAATTGCAAAAAAAAACAAGTAATTTTTGTAAGTATGTACTTAATTTTGAGTGTTAAATGTAAACATCAAAAATACTCATTTTTCAGTGGACCAAGTAAAATTTTATCTGTGGGAGTATTAGGAGAGGTATTCATTTAAACTGAAGAATACGGCTTACCTGATGATAGCTTATGAAAACATAAATTTTGGAAAAGAGTAGGGGGAAGATTCAAGGTGGCACTGTAGGAACAGCTCAGGATTGCAGCTACCAGTGAAAGCACAGAGGGTGAGTGGACACCGCATTTCCAGATGGATCTTTATTGCCCACAGACCAGGAGATTCCCAAGAGGAGGAGCCCCATGGGTCACCAGCGCAGCTGTTTTGGCCGGCACGGCTGTCTTGGCAGGCGCCACAGTGCAGCGGCTCTCTGTTCAAAATACACTGGTCTGGTTGCTCTGTTAAACTGGCAATTGGAGATCTGGGAAGGCAGATTAGCCCATTCATCTGATTAAATGGGACTGAAACATAAAGCCAGGCCAGGAGATTCCTGGGCAGCGATGTTGTTTCAGCCGGCGCGGTGGGTCGCCGCACAGGAAATCACACAGATCCCGGTGCCCTTTCAGCAGGTGACTGGAACACCTGGGAGAGAGTTAACCATTCAACTTTAAAAAAAAAGGGCTCTGAGGCAGGGAGCCAGGTGATCAGGCTCAGCAGGTCCCATGCCCACAAAAACAAACAAAAAACAGCAATTGAAAACTCTCAGTGTTGAGAGTTTCACAGCAAGCACAGCTAAAACTGGGATGGCCCAGCTCTGTGGAGGAGGGGTGTCTGCCATTACCGAGACACTCCACCCCTACTGAGGTAGTCTGCCATTGCCAAGGCAACCTGCCATAATAGAGAGAGTGTGCCATTACAGAGGTGGGTCAACATTGCTGAGGCAGTTCTAACCACACCCATATAAACAGGACTGCAGGGAAATACACATGGCAGCAGGTCGTAGCCAGCAGCAGGGAGGAACCCACAGCAGCTCAGGAAAACCTCTGCAGGCAGTGACTAGGCTGCCTCCTTGCTGGGAAGGACAGCCCTGAAAAAAAAAAAAAAAAGGCAGCAATGCAATGGATACTCATAAATAAAGTCCTAACTCCCCAGGACAGAGCACTTGGGGAAAAAAAGGGGGTTTATGAGTTCTGCTGCAGCAGATTAAAATGTACCTGCCTAGCAGCTCTGAATGAACAATGGAGCTCACAGCTCAGCACTTAAGCTCCTATAAAGAACAGACTGTCTCCTTAAGCAGCTCCCTGACCCCCGTATATCCAAAGAGTCACCTCACAAAGGACTGATCAGACTGACATTTGGCGGGCATCATTCTGAGACAAAGATAGCAGCAGAAGAAACTGGTAGCAACCCTTACTGTTCTGCAGCTGCTGCAGGTGACCCCAAGGCAAGCAGGACCTGGAGTGGACCTCAGCAGTCCTAAAGCAGAGGGGCCAGACTGTTAGAAGGAAAACTAAGAAACAGAACTGACTTCATCATCAACAATCTGGATATCCACTCAGAGACCCAATTGGAAAATCAGCAACTACACAGACGACAGGTGGATAAATCCACAAATATGGGAAGAAACCAGCGCAAAAAGGAGGAAAACACCTGAAACCAGAACACCTCGCCTCCTAAAAGGGATCACAGCTCCTCACCAGCAAGGGAACAAAGCTGGATGGAGAATGAGTGTGATAAAATGACGGAATCAGACTTTAGAAGGTGGGTAATCAGAAACTTCTGTGAGATAAAATAACATGTTCTAACTCAATGCAAAGAAACTAGGAACCTTGAAAAAAGATTTGAGGAAATGATATCAAGAAGGGACAACTTAGAGAGGAATATGGGTGAATTGATGGAGCTGAAAAACACAACACGAGAACTTCGCGAAGCATGCACAAGTTTCAACAGCCGAATTGACCAAGTAGAAGAAAGGATATCAGAGCTCGAAGATCAACTCAATGAAATAAAACGAGAAGGCAAGATTAGAGAAAAAAGCACAAAAAGGAATGAACAAAGTCTCCAAGAAATGTGGGACTATGTGAAGAGACCTAATCTATATTTGATGGGTGTACCTGAATATGACGAAGAGAATGAATCCAAGCTGGAAAATACTCTTCAGGATATTGTCCAGGAAAACTTCCCCAACCTAGCAAGGCAGGCCAATATTCAAGTCCAGGAAATACAGAGAACACCACAGAGATATTTCCCAAGAAAAGCAACCCCAAGGCACATAATCGTCAGATTCACCAGGGTTGAAATGAAGGAGAAAATGCTACGAGCAGCCAGAGAGAAAGGTTGGGTTACCCACAAAGGGAAGCCCATCATACTCACAGCAGATCTCTCGGCAGAAACCCTACAAGCCAGAAGAGAGTGGGGGCCGATATTCAACATCCTTAAAGAAAAGAACTTTCAACCCAGAATTTCATATCCAGCCAAACTGAGCTTCAGAAGTGAAGGAAAAATAAAATCCTTCACGAACAAGCAAGTACTCAGAGAGTTTGTCACCACGAGGCCTGCTTTACAAGAGCTCCTGAAAGAGGCACTACACATAGAAAGGAACAACTAGTACCAGCCACTCCAAAAACATACCAAATGCTAAAGAGCATCAACAAAATGAAGAATCTGCATCAACTCCTGGGCAAAACAGCCAGCTAGCATCAAAATGGCAGTATCAAATTCACACATAACAATATTAACCCTAAATGCAAAAGGGCTAAATGCACCAATCAAAAGACACAGACTGGCAAATTGGATAAAAAGCCAAAACCCATCAGTGTGCTGTATCCAGGAAACCAATCTCACATGCAAGGACACACAGTCTCAAAATAAAGGGATGGAGGAAGATTTGCCAAGCAAACGGAGAGCAAAAAAAAAAAAAAAGCAGGAGTTGCAATTCTCATCTCTGATA